CACTGCTCTGTTGTCTCCTCTGAGGCTGGGACTCTAAACAGTGTTCTGTGCTCGTCTCTGCAGCCAAACACAGAACAGTTAGCGTGTTTTGCTCAAACTTTCGCCATGGCATTAGAGCCGGTACACCGCTGTCGCTTGCGAAAACACAATAATGGCGCCGTTGGTGTAAACTTACAGATTAAGGGGCGGTGATATTATAATGAGATCCCTTTGCCACGTCACCAAGGGAGCGAAATCAGACGCACTCGTTTTCTCAGACGCTTGCAGAAAAAGGCTTTCCAAAACAAAGTGATTGGGTTAATCTTTTTCACATTTCCTTGGTTGGTTTGATTATACTTGATTTTAGCACTTAAAACCTGGAAAAGTCAGATTTTCATGATATGTCATCTTTAAAGCAGTGTTTATTTCTTTTGTATCTTATATTGTATTTGTTCTATTGTTTGTCATTTCCACATTTTATCATATTATTTAATAAATAAGATAAAATTAAAAAAGATATATATATTGTTATATATATTGTTTTTGTGAAATATAATTAGCCTACTCCTATCTAAATTTGTCATATCACAAATTCCTCTATTTGGGAAGAATACATATAGCTTATGACAGATATATTTATTCATTAACTGTTAATAATCGTTTGAAATAGACTGCTTGTTTATTTTATATGTCTGTGATCTCCCCGATCTGTCTGGGGAACACGTGACAGAGTCAAAGCGTTTCATTGGTTTGGACTACAAAGTCCAGAGTTCATAGCGCCTCAGAACGCGGAAGTGTCGTCGATCCGTCAATGGTGGATTGTGGAAGTGCGGCTGTTGAAAATGCGGTAAAACATCGACAAAAACATAAAATTCACACATGTAATTGAGTTTTGTTTTATTTTGTTGATTTGCGAACAGTCAGTAAGGTTCATCTCTGATATTTCCTGCTCGTGAATCCGTCCCGTTTGTTGTGTTGACGTTTTAGCTCATGCTGTCATGTTTTGGTTGTTTAAACAATTACACATAATTTATAGTACAGAAAACAAACAGTGTTAAAATAAATAGGTCTTTAATGCAGTTCATTAACGAAAATTGACTAACAGCTTTGAAGCGGTTACTTGTACGATAAAAACAACATAAAATGGTTCATTAACTGATAACTTAGCATGCAATGTCTTGGCCAGTGGTTATCTCGTTTATTTTAAATATTTATATATCTGTATATCTCTTTGTGTAGTGTTTTTGAAGGGATAAAGTGTAGTTTGTCATATATGATCCAATCCCAGCTTTCAATGTATAAAATGACGCCATAAAATCTTTATAGTACTTGAAATGTTTCTTACAGTTATTTTCATATCATGTGAGCAGTGATTCTCAGATGAATATGTTTATGATTATTATAATCTAGTTGAGTCACAGTGTTAAAAGAGTCTGTTTCTCAGTATAAAGAATAACTGCACTGTGACTCTGGAACAAAGATGCTGTGTGTGTGTGTGAGTGTGTGTGTGTACCATGTGAGTGTGTGTGTGTGTGTGTGTGTGAGTGTGTGTGTGTGTGTGTGTGGCACCTGCACAAAGAGCAAATGGTTTTCAACTACTCTCACCATATAATTATTGTAATTGCTTTATGTACCTATAAAACTGAATAAACTCTGAAACCTGAAATGACTGGAAGCACGCCATTTAACAGAGACAGCGAACAGCATGTCAATCATGGGATTTAACCGTCTTCTCGTTTGAGATGTATTTTGTTCTATTTGAGTATTATGTGTTCAGAGTCTGCTCTATACCGCTCTATACTCAGATTGCCTTACTCTTGAATGTGTGTGTGTGTGTGTGTGCAGGTGTCGGCATGTGTGAACGAGACATGGTGCCAGAACATGGGAAGCAGCAGAAACACTCGTCGCAGTCTAATAGCGAGGGCGACGTGGACGGATCGTATGTGTTTGAGGCTAAAGAGGCCTGGAAGGATTTCCACAACTCCCTCAGACAGTTTTACGAGAACGGAGAGCTGTGTGACGTCACTCTGAAGGTATCTGACGCAGTGAATATAGTCACACAGCAGCTTCTTTTGTTTGTAATTCTCTCCCTTTTGTTTTTCACTCAAGGTCGGAAACAGACTGATACCATGTCACAAACTGGTTCTGGCCTGCGTGGTGCCGTACTTTCGTGCCATGTTCCTCTCAGATATGGCCGAGGCCAATCAGGACTTGATTGAGATACGAGATTTCGACGCCGATGCCATCCAGGACCTGGTGTGTTTCGCGTACTCCTCGCGGCTGACGCTGACGGTGGATAACGTTCAGCCGCTGCTGTACGCGGCGTGTATCCTGCAGGTGGAGCTGATCGCTCGGGCCTGCTGTGAATACATGAAAACTGCGCTGTCAGCAGGCATTTCATAATCTAGAACGACAAAAACATCATTAGTAATTCTGATATAACATGCCAGTTGAGAAGTGCAATAAAATACGATGTTTTGTTTGTTATATTTCAATATTCCAGAGGTGTGGTTGACTCCTAACTTTTATAAAGAATATCTCTTTGGATTTGAGACTTTAGTCTTTGCAACTTTACAGATCTTCTTTATGCACCAAGAGCTTGTAACACTCCAAAGAGAAAGGAAAAACTGAAATCGCATCATATGACCCCTTTAAGGAGAATTACAGAAGGGTTAAAAAACACTTTTACTTTTACTTTACTAGTGTTTTAAAGTAGGGATGCACTGATACCACTTTTTCCAGAACTAGGCCGATACCGAGTACCAATATCTGTATTTTCATTGCATTTGTAATTTAAAAAAAATATTGGTTACAGAATCCAAAAGAATATGTTAAAAATTAGTTGGCTTAGTTCATTTAGCAAACAAATATTTCCTTCAGTTATTTTCACACTTAATTTCAGACTTAATTATGCCCATTAAAATGTTTTTTTACAAGTTTTTGTTACTTTCACTGTTCATTTTTTTTAATATCATCTTTAATTTGATAGCATTAGAGCTGCTCCATTGCAGCGGCTCAGTACTGTAATCACAAGACGGTTTGCTGTAATAATGCAGGGAACGACTCGTTATATAAATCTTGTAACTATGAAGAACATATTTTGAGGAATGTCACGTTTTTTTTCATCTGAAACATGCTGCGACTTATATTCCAAAGTGACTCATATAATGCACAACACTCATGAAGCAAGCTAAACATGCGCAACACCGCACATATTTGTACTGCTGCAGAATGAGGGAGACGCGTAAAGCCTCGCGCATTTCACACAGACTGCTAATTCAACTTTCACTTAAAGTCGAAACCCTTATAACAGGCATTTGAAAACGCATGTCTACCGTCTTCCCAAATTTATAATGAGGATTGTTCATCACTGTTTTCTGCTGTAATAAAAGCTAGATGTTGAGACTTCAATATCACTGTGTTGTTTAATTACAGGTGCATCTCAATAAATTAGAATGTCGTGGAAAAGTTCATTTATTTCAGTAATTCAACTCAAATTGTGAAACTCGTGTATTAAATAAATTCAATGCACACAGACTGAAGTAGTTTAAGTCTTTGGTTCTTTTAATTGTGATGATTTTGGCTCACATTTAACAAAAACCCACCAATTCAATATCTCAACAAATTAGAATATGGTGAAATGCCAATCAGCTAATCAACTCAAAACACCCGCAAAGGTTTCCTGAGCCTTCAAAATCGTCTCTCAGTTTGGTTCACTAGGCTACACAATCATAGGGAAGACTGCTGATCTGACAGTTGTCCAAAAGACAATCATTGACACCCTTCACAAGGAGGGTAAGCCACAAACATTCATTGCCAAAGAAGCTGGCTGTTCACAGAGTGCTGTATCCAAGCATGTTAACAGAAAGTTGAGTGGAAGGAAAAAATGTGGAAGAAAAAGATGCACAACCAACAGAGAGAACCGCAGCCTTATGAGGATTGTCAAGCAAAATCGACTCAAGAATTTGAGTGAACTTCACAAGGAATGAACTGAGGCTGGGGTCAAGGCATCAAGAGCCACCACACACAGACGTGTCAAGCCTCCATGAGCACAAAACGGTATGACAAACAGCAAGCTTTCCTTGACCTGATGTTCTGCTCTAATACTTTTCATAGTTTATAGTTGTAATTCATTGTTGTTTTATTAATATTTATAGTTATAATTGAATTCTCATTGGATTAAAGAGTTACCTGTCCATGCACACGTCCAACAAAATAAAGCTATTGTATGTATTGACACAGAAGACAGCTGAGCATGCAGACAGAATGAGGTTGTCCTGTGTTTGTGTTTGTGTTTGTCAGGAGGGGGATTGCGCTGGCTGCTCTCGGCGGACCCATCTACGCTATCGGTGGTCTGGATGATAACTCCTGCTTCAGTGATGTGGAGCGCTATGACATCGAGTCGGACCGCTGGAGCGCCGTGGCTCCTATGAACACACCCAGAGGAGGCGTGGGATCTGTGGCGCTCGGGGTACGAAAGGCCCACTTACACATGATTCTACACTAGGACTGGCCATCAGATGTTAGCGTTATCACTGCACTCTCTTTGCTGACGATATAAAATTAGGAAATATGCATATGGCAGTAATGTTAAAGGTTTGACTTTTAAAGACAATAAGCCAGTTTCACTCATTATGACAGCTGATAGATGCTGCTTTTAAACGCTTCCATGCGTTTGTGTGGGAGCGCTGTTTAGAACAGTGTTGAGGGCGTTACAGCCAATCACAGACATGTCTGCCGAGTGCCAAACTCAGTGACCAATCAGAGGGGTTTAAGTTAGTCAGAATCCACTCAATACTGCTCAAAATGTTTTCGTTCAGCACACTTTTCCATTTTTATTTATACAGCTTTTTACAATACAAATTTCAAAGACTGTTTCTAAGAAGCATCGCAGAATGTGTGTTTTCAGTGGAATAATCGGAAAGTAATCTGTTATTTGTGAGTGAAGTGTGTCAGAGGAATATCCATATGACAGGAGTATACAGCTAAACCTTATTACAGCTTATGTGGCTAGTTAACGTCGTGTTCACTTAAGTAGATAGAATAGAGTCATCATGAGGTAGAAATAAAAAATAAATAAAAAGAGAATAAACTGTGATCTACACACTGGTGAATCCTTATATTATAACTAACAATGTGTAAATAAAATTCATTGTGTAATATAGACAATGTTATTTTAACTATCGTCCAGCCCGATTGTACACAATATTCACCAGCCCAGACAAGCTTTCACTTCTATTGTATTCTATTGTTTTGAGAGGGTAAATGACTTCTGTTCATGAGTGTCACGGGTTTGATCGTGTTGATCTGATGTCTTCTTCAGGGCTATGTGTACGCGGTCGGGGGGAATGACGGCGTTGCATCGCTGTCCAGCGTGGAGCGCTTCGACCCTCATCTGAACAAATGGACAGATGTGCGAGAGATGGGGCAGCGGCGCGCTGGAAACGGTGTCAGCGAACTCAACGGATGCCTCTACGTTGTTGGTAACCATCAGAATTTGTTCATCTTCGTAATTTTAGACTTCATGTGAAAACAGACTCAGCTACGCTCTGCTGGAGTGATATCTGTGAGCTTCATGTGCTTGTGTTTGTCTGAAGGCGGGTTTGATGATAATTCTCCGCTGAGCTCAGTGGAGCGCTTCGACCCCAGAACCAATCACTGGGAGTATGTGGCGGAGTTGACCACGCCCAGGGGCGGAGTCGGAGTTGCCACGGTGATGGGGCGTGTCTTTGCAGTGGGGGGGCACAATGGAAACATCTACCTGAATACGGTGGAGGCCTTCGAGCCCCGGATGAACAGGTGAGATATAAAGCTGGAGTGTTCCTGAAGAGTACTGGTTGTGATTTCATTCAGATAGCATTAGTGTGTGTGTGTGTGTGTGTGTGTGCACCAGATGGGAGCTTGTGGGCTCTGTGTCTCACTGTCGGGCCGGGGCCGGAGTCGCCGTCTGTTCCTCTCACATCAGTCAGATTCGAGATGTCGGCCAGGGCTCCAGTAACGTCGCTGACTGTATGTAGCCACTTTGTCATAGTTTGACACACTTCAACACTAACGCTTCAGCCTAAATACACTCCGAACACCTGCATTCAGCCGTGATGTGGCTCTGGATCAGGAGTCTGTTGTGTTTATTGAATCAACTCTTTTGTGTACTACATGTCAAAAGAAGTTTATGTTTTTGCTCTAATTTTGTTAGTGGAAAGTGTTTTTTCTAGCTGTGAGATCACATGATCACTGTGTCTGATGTTTGTACTGATTTCTGCTGCCTGAACTGCTGAAAGTAATTTCTCTCTTAGATAATAAGAAATCTTCAGTAAACTAGACTAGTGCTCAGAATTGAAGTTCTTTCCTCTGAATATCCATGACATGAGTTCAGTGAAGCGTTTCTGTATTTGAAAGGCAGAATGACATCAGATACTTATAAATGCACAAGGTTAAAAATCACAATTTTGTGACTTCAGGACACAAAGAATGATCAAAAGAGATTGTTCTGTAGCCGGGTGTTTGTTTGCGTGCGTACAATCACAGACGTGATCAGGACAAAATGAAAGATTCATGAGACTCGTTTCTAACGTGACGAAATGATAGTGATTCTTCTGTTGTGAGCCACGTCTCATGTATGACTTCAGTAAGACAATAAGATAATAAGATCTGGTTCTAGGTTTAGATTTGTGCTGAACAGTCTAGAGCGAAGATGTGTGATCAAGGATTGTGCTTCTGCTCTGCTTTTCACTGCCAAACATGAACAGCAAGCCAAGAGAAGCTCAGAGATGCTTTTATATGTTGCTTTTGGCTATTACAAATGTAATGCTTTTCTGGCTTGATTTTATTGCATTCGCTGTTTTACATGATTTAGATAAAAAATGAAAAATATGATTGCATTTTGAAACAGATCTGTTATACTACGAGAGAATACATTGAGATTTTTTTTTGTTTTCTTTTTCCAGTGTGACTTGAGTCTTATTTGAAAATGACTTTGAAATCTGAATATGAAATATTTATTTTATGTAATGCATCTTTTTTCTTAGATTTGGAAAACAGTCCATATTGTTGCTTTTATTCAGCAATTATTGTTTGGACTCCAGTGACCTAAGATTATATTTGAGAACTGCTGTTGAAATGTTGATATTGTTGAAATGTGTTTTACATTATTCTGGTGTCACAGATGTTAACGTTGCATTCAGTGATGTGAAACAACAATAAATATATTCATAGAGCGATTTATTTAATATTTGTATAACTTTATTCTGTCCACAGATAGTTAGGTATCAATTGTAGCTGCATTTCTGTACCTGCTGATTTAAATGCAGTATGTTTGATAGATATTTATCTCAAACAAGAGTGACCTGTCTGAAGAGTGACACTTCTTAGCATATTTACCCATGTCTACATTTTAATGTTTGGCTCAATATTTTTGTATTTATTTCCTTCAGTTTCCTTCGTTTTTTTCTTTTGTGACGTTTTAAAACCCTGTCTTTGGGATAAAGTGGGTTAGTAATACATTTCATGCCATTTGTTTGAATGTGAATAGAATAATCTGACGTGTATATATTATAACAATCTGTCCTCAACAGTAAACCAATTATCTGACATCAACAACCCACGTGTGCGGTTTAATGGACAGCGTTGAGTAATTTGTATTTTAGTTTTGTATTTGGTGCATTTTTATTGTTTACTGTCAACTTGGTAGCTATAAAAAAAGGTTAAAAAGTAACACAAAGGTAAAAGATTTTATTCAAAATATATTGTCCTATAATATGTGCTGTCACAAGGGTTTTGAAACACACTCTTTGGACTGAAATTAGAATCACAAAAGAAGCAGAATTAACTAGGGATGTAACGATTCACTCAAGTCACGATTCGATTCACGATTTTGATTTCACGATTCAATTCGATTCACGATTTTTTTAACAAAATTAGATTTAAGACAAATTATAAATTAAATGTCATTTTATTATTGCTTGGACAATGCTGCATGTTTCTTTGTGAAATTGAAATATAACACTATAATAATATACTAATATAGCACTTATAGCATATAATTACTCTTTTGTTGGTTTTGAGGACACTTCGTATATGCATCCTACAGAGGATGGATTCGACCTCCAGAGGATTCGACCTCCGAAGGGCGCAGCCTTCTAAATGAGACGCAGCTAGTGTTTCCTTGGTTACCGCTGTAAACAAAGCAGTGCTGCCTTATGAACAGCAATGATACAGTGTTTCCTTGGTTACCGCTGTAAACAAAGCAGTGGTGCGCTTATGAACTGCA